TAGCCAATATTGGGGATCGCTAGGTATTCATTCACAACCGGTTTCCGAATTAAGCACGTCTCGAAGTGCTACTTAAAAAGGTGTGATTTTAATATTTTTAATGATCAGTTGATAGCAGTTTAATAAATCTAACACTTTTTGCCTTGTGAAACGTAGAAACCTTACTTTATTACGAGTAATCAGTAAACATTTGGTACTACTCCAATTTCGGAAACTGGCCGTTAATAGGTAAGAGATTAATAAAATAATAAGTTGAAAAACTAAAACCCGACTACAGCTAAATTACGTTAAAATTTTTTTTTGTTTCAAACTTTTTAGAGCGCGATTTTCGAGGTTTAGTTTAGAGCTTTTTTTTTATTTAATAAATTTTTCGGGCGTATTTAAGAATAATCGCAGGCAAAAGCTATCAATTATAAATACATATTTGAAATGTGCTAATTAAACACTATCATTTGATACCATACAAATAATGAATATACATATTGTTTAGTTTCTTACTTTATTATGCTCCCTAGAGAGCGCTGTTGTCAATTGAATATAACGTCACATAGCCTTATAGCACATGGACAACTAACACGCTCCTAAAATACTTCATATGTTCAGTTACAATGAGTAGTTTCAAAGTTATAAGGGAACAGATGAACATTCTTACATACATACATACCGGCCAATATCATAACCCTCCTTTTTGCTTCGCAGTATTCGGGTAAAAATACTGTATTGTGTGTATAAAAGTATATGAACGACAAGAATAGTTGACGTGATATAAGTTAATGGATTTAAATGGTATTGTTTAATAATTTATTTTATTAGATAATAATGTAGTCGCAAGTCGCAACACATTTATTGCCTGTCTGCCCGGACCTTCCCTCCCTTTCTTGCTCTCGTCTTTTACACATATACCGGCTGCGCATTCGATATCGTGTAGAATACATTAATGATAAAGATTACCGGTAACGTGTATGTATCAATAAATATGTAGGTACTGATAAGATTTTTTTACACGGCTTCAATAACTTTTCGACTCATCCATAACAAATTATACGTACGTCATCATCGCGGATTATGAAAGTAAGTAATAACATCCCAATTTTGTAGCACCACGGGATTGCCTAAAGGATGATGGATGTTCACCAAACTTTTCGACGTAATCGCATCGTTAGTAGAAATAACACATATCATAACATTAATACGTCATATATTGCAAAAAATTTGTACCTTTGATTAGAATAGTACATATTCAAAGATTTGAATCCTTTTTTACGAAAATTGTGCTGACGAAGGAGGATGAAATTTGGCACAGTTAAAGTTTATTAAATACTTTTTTAATAAAAATTAATTTAAAAAGGTATCTAACATGGAACTTAATATTTGCCTGGAAGGTGATTCATTTAATATCAATAAACTGCTACTCACAAAAGAACCTAAAAAATACTTATTAGATCTTCATCAGCTATTAATGTGCTTATGCCTGGACTCATGATTCAAGCCTTTCCTATGGATGGAATCGATCGAATAGGAAGAATTAACAATGACCTAACACAAGGTCCCATTGTGAATTGGTGGGCGTTGAACGACTGCAGGCTCAACTAGGACGAATGGCTTAACATGCCACTCGAGCATGAAGCTTGAGATTATAAATTTTGATCACCTATGTTACGACCAAAGTACCTATGCGAAAGATGCTTAACTTTCGCATTGCAGACGCTATATTTGATCACCTCTCTTTTTTGATCGTCAAAAGAAATTGGAATCTGGCTTCCTATCTTTTTAGGATCGAAGAAACTAAACAAATTTTTGAAATGTTAGATGTTTGGTTGTTGTTTAGCCTCTAACTTTCGTTAAATTATAATATTATTCGTAAAATATATCATGTTTTCCTACTATCGAATGATCGAAAGTAATTCGAGTCGGTCATGAAATTTTTAGACGAAGACCCAATTTATTACGAAGTTGGTTTTGTGCCTCAAGGGATATTAAATTAAGGAGCATTACCTTCTACAACGGCCTCCGTGTAGACTTATTAACGGTGGGTACTACTACCATTATTTTAATACAAAGACTTGAGATTTTTCAGTCATTATGTTTTCTTTATGGTGGCTAATTGAAAGTTATTGTGGAACAACAAAAAATGTAACACTGTATTGTATTTCGATACAGTTAAAGTATTTTGTTTTTAAAAATATATTCTTATTTAGTTGATTTTAAAAAGAATTCCATTTCCTTGGAACTACTACAGAAAAAAATCCCAGTAGTCCGGAACTGAATGATGAAACTATTGGTATCCGAGCTTTAGTATTTCTGAAATATACTTGAAATAGTACACTCAGAAAAATGTTAGTTTGATTTTGCTTCATACATTTTATGTTAGTAAAATTTAATAAAATACAGTCATCTTTGAAATAGTTTTATAAATGCTAATAAATAACTCCAGGTGCTTGAGTACTGAAAAACGATAATAGAATAATAGGTCTTAAGAGTCAATTTTATTAGATGGTCACAAATTTATTTGTCTGAAACAGATAATATCTATATCGAAGTACTCAATGTTTTGTCTTTGTCATTTGGTTTCTTAATTAATACTTAACTAAAAGAATAGAATATACAACTAGGATTTAAAAATAGCACAGATATCCATAAACTATTGGTAAAAGATCTTTCCTTCATTTTACCTTATTCATTTTAGTTTTTTTTTGTCTAAGGAACAGGACGAGTACTTTTCAATTATTTCCGCTTTCATCAAGAAAAGCTTGAGAATCGCGATTTAACGTCAGCCTTTTGTAATAAGAAGGGCGTAATAAAAGGCTCTCCTTCCCACACAAATTCGAGGCTTTTCATATGGTAATGTTTGATAAAATTCTATTGTTCCTTCAAAAACCGTGAATGTATCCGTCGAGTGTTACATATTCTGACATACTCAACATCCTTTTCTTGAACGGTTAGGTTTATTGTAGTATAAGATAGAAAATATAATAGAAACTTTGACCGATCTGATGAGCAGAAAACGCCAAAAGGATTAGTTGACGATTCAAAGGATTCACCTTACTCTTGTAAATATTTTATTTTTTTGGCAAAGATTTGATGGACGTATTCTTATTTACTTATTAAAGGTTCACACAACAGGTTACAATCAAATAAAGTATATAAAAAGCATATATAAAGATAAGAGCGAGACTGCACCCCAAAAGCGTGTGTACACAACATTATATTCAAAAAGCGTAAACATCCAATATACTTGAACTACAGATAGTACATACAGATCAATAACACTATTCACAATGCAGAAAGCACATAGCTAGCTACAATACATACACAAATACATACATACAAAAAAATACACAATTCAAATAGTTAAATTACGTAAAAACATTCTTGCAGACTTGCTAAAAAAAAAGAAAGAAAAATTGTAGACTTTTTTACAAAGGGTGTCACTAATTTATTTGCTGTTGGAAAGAGATTCGAGAACACACCTAACCTGAAATTTGAAGGCGACATACCTTTTGAGTTGGACTGTTTCAATATAAAGACGACACATTCGTACGATGGGATTAAAGTAAGAAGTGTTATTTTTATAGGTTTGCAATACAAATAGTCTCTGCTTACGGTTTCGTGAGAGCAGCTTAGTGTTGAAGTTTAAAAGCTTTAGTAAGTTAGGAGATTCAAGCCTGGAGTTTATAATCTTATACAAATGCAGAAGATCCTGCTGTTTTCTGCGGATATCTAAAGCTGCAACTTTAAAATGATCCATTCTTTCAGCGTAAGATGTTAAGGTTCTACCAAGACCACATTTATAAGATAAGATTTTCATGAACTTCCTCTGGACTCTTTCAATCTTTTGGGAGTGTATTTCATAGTGAGAAGACCAGATTACAGATGCATATTCAAGATTGCTTCTAACTAGTTAATTTGCTTCTTCTATTCTGTTAAATTATATATAGTAGTTTTAAAATTTATTGGGTTTGTTAACGTCATTGCGCAATCAAAATGTGAATTAAAAGTAGAGTTTACTCGAGTAGAACTATTGTTATTAATTACCTTAAATGTTTACATAGTTAAAATTGCAGCTAAACAAGATTAAAACTAAGCTTTGTTTAGCTAGTGTTATAGTGGCCCCTATTTTTATGATTATTAGTTGTAATCTTGTTATTCCACCAGATATTTAGCTAGATACTAATAGAAATATAATAAGGCAACATTATTTTAATATAATATAAAACATTATAGATTTAATTAGAAATCACCAATCATTGTAATGTCTCTTAAGGTAGCTTACTGTCTGTAGAAATGAAGCAAAATTAATTAGAAAAATTCGATTTCTGCAAAGGTTGCACCGTCACCAAAACAGTTCTTTGTAAATTTATAGAAGTAACATCCAGGATTTCTTGACCTTACGATTTATTGTTCTTTATAGAAGGGTGAATGCGCCAATTACTTTAACATATATCTTTGTTTATTTACAATTTGTATGGCGAAAGATATTGTTAAAGTTGTCCCCAACATTTTGTCGTGCATTATAATTCCAATAAAAAAGCTCATAAGTTTGAAATAAGTAAAATTATTCAAAGTGTCCTTGTTTGCCTCCATGACGTCAAACATTAATTATTCTGTAGGCTAAACATCTAATTTTAAAACCTATGGCAATCACTTTCAAGCTATAGCGATTATGGTAGCGATTTATGGAATTATGTTTTTTTTAAGTCGCAAGCGCTTTCGGAATGAATAATTATAAAAAAAACATTATACAAACTTAGTAACATATACTTAACGTAATATTTGTATCTAACGCCTGCCTTAGACAATTTCAATTAACGTCAAATTAATGATATCATTCATTCAATATCCCTTGTACCCTTGTCAGTTTTAGCGTGAAGTTCGTGAATATCTTTTTAATGCCAAATTTATAAGGATTGCTATGGATGTATAAAAATAGACAATTAAGCATCACATTTCCATACAGCTGCTTTAGCTTCATAATTCGGGACCCTATTTTATTCACTTACCCGTCCTTCGCTTTTCCAATAGATGAAAAAACCATATTCATCTACTTTGAAGAGGCAGTTCTGTTCTAATTCTGTATTGTCCTTTTCTTCAGTCCATCTGTCGAAAACAGCACCCTGAAATAATTAAAATAAATTAATAAAACACACCACAGACCACCAAACGTAAAAAAAAACATTACCATATTTTTAAATTAAAGCAGTTACACAAGAGGTTTACTGTTAATAAAAATATAAAGAAATCAGTCAAATGTTATATTCAATTTAAAATACAAATAAAATAAATTGATATTTTAGAATTGATAATATTATACGAAATCAATGTTCTTGTTATTAGAGTAGTAATTTACCTAAAACTTAATCTGTTTATACTGGTTTAAACCAATGGTATTTTCAAATATTCTAGGTTATCTCGATTAAAAATACTGGCGCTATCTAGTGACGATTATCGACTTTATATAATTAATGTTATAGAATATAATATTTCGTATATCAAAAGTAATTAGTAATAGTCCCATTTTACACTTTGGGTAGGGAAGCCTAAAAATAAAGTCATAAAGAAATAAACTATGTATGTATTTAAATTAAAAGTATACGAGTGTTAAATAGTGATATACACTTGAATGTATATTATATCGCCGAACTATATGGGCTAAAACCTATCGCAACCTCTTTCAAAGGTAGAAAATTTTAAAGTCGCAATTACTTTCAGAATGAATGATGATTGGAATGGTCAAGAAACATAATCAAAATGCTTGAATCAGACAATTCCTATAAACGATGTTGTTCATTCATATCTTTCAAAAGACTTTCGCATAGGGTTACCAGGGGTTTAAATCGAAAAGCCGGTCGCATGCAAGTGTTTGTGCAAAAAAATCCTGATTTCTGTAAAAAAATCCGGTCTTTGGCCGAAAATAAAAGTCACTAGATTGGGAAAATAAAAGTCACTTAAAAAAGGTTTTTTTTTTTTTATTTTTTTTTTTATGCTGGTTCCCCCACTTTATAGCAGGCTGTCTTATTGTTCTTTTTTATATTGTCATGCTTTTTTATTTTCTTTTCTTTTTATATTCAGGTATATTCCTGTTTAGTCTTTTGGGATAGCTCTTTTTCCCTTTTTCTTTCTTTTTAACTTTTTTATACATATTTCTTACTTGCTATTTACATAATTTTTATTTTGTTATATACATTCCCATGTTATTTGTTCTTAATTCTATATTTACAATTTCTTTCTTTTACAATTCCTTTCTTTTCTTACTATACAATAATTCTTGCCTACTTCTTATAACTAATTACATTTTGTTGTCCTCGTTTTCCTAATTCATTCAGTCTTTGTTCCTTTTTGCTACCTTTTCTATAATTATACATGCATAGTGTATGAACTTCTCTCTTTCTTTATTATCTGTCATTATTGTTTCTAAATTTTCCACGCTAAGTTTTGTTTCTATGTGATTTTGTAGAGTGTGTCTTTCATTGCCGAAAATTGGGCATTCCAATAATACGTGAAATACGTCTTGCTTCGTTTGGGGGTCGCACTCACAAAATGGGGTGTCTTTGCATTTATAATCATGGAGGTAGGACTTAAACCCTCCATGCCCCGTCAGTAATTGCGCAGCCCATCTGTCAATCTTCATCTTTCTTACCACTCCGAAGGCCCTTTCCCCGCTGGGGAAAAAGACCTTCGTAGTGGCGGCGGTGTTTTCGCTCCTATAACGGCTATCCCATTCTACCTTTGTCAAATTGCGTAAATGCCTTTTGACAAAGGAGATGGGGCAGCCGTCATAGTGCGACTTACACTTCAACCCGAGAGCCGCCCCCTTCGCCAACTCGTCCGCCCTCTCGTTCCCAATCACGCCGACGTGGGCCCTGATCCAAAATAGGGAGACCTTTTGGCCTAAGTCCCTAAGTTGTATCAGGTTGCCTTGTATCGCCTTCGTGATTGGGTGCGAAGAGTCCGGATCTTGTAGCGACTGTAGGGCGGATCTCGAGTCGCTGAGCACCGCCGCGTCCTTCCATTCTTTGTTCATCACACATTCCGTCGCTTGGAGGATAGCATACAACTCGGCCTGGAAGACCGTACAGTATGGCTCCAGCTTAAACTTTCGGGAAGCGATCTCAGCAGCCCCTTTCCAACAGGTCAGGGCTGCACCGACTTTTCCCTCAAGCTTGCTACCATCTGTATAGATCTTCACAAGGTCTTCTGCTAGTTTGCTATCCTCTTCCGCGTTTTCCAAGCATTCGAACTCTATCATGCTCAGGCTGCCGGGGTGGTTCGATTCCTGCAAAGACACCCTTTCCTCCACCTTCCTGCCTCTTAGTATTGCCTGGGGTTTCCCGCGCTTTGCTTCATAAAGTCGGGATGCTTCTTGGACCCTAAGGTCCAGCGGAAGCAGCCCCGACAATACTAATGCGGAATTTAGTGAAACTGTCCTGTATGTTTTAGCTATTTTTTGTGCGAACCCCCTTTGTACCCCATTGAAAACTTTTTTGCTTTTAATTTTACCTGCCTCTTTGGCCCAAACACTTGCCGCGTACAGTACAATCGGTTCTATTACTGCTACGTATATGGTCCTAATGACCTCCGGGTTTAATCCCCATGTTACCTTGGCTGATGATAATATTCCTTTATATATGTTGATGGCTTTTTGACAGACGTACGCAATGTGTTGATTAAAGGTAAGTTTTTTATCTATTATTAATCCTAATATTTTAATTTCCTCCTCTAAAGTTATACTAATTCCTCCCATGGTCAGGTGGGGGGTGTCATATTTAAGTTTATGCGTAATTATCATTGCCTTTGTTTTCTGTGGCGCGAAATTTAATTTGTTATCTTTACCCCATTTCCTGACCATGTCTAGTGCTTTATTAGCTTTCATTTCCAATTTTTGGGAGCTTTTTTCTGATATAATCAACACTACGTCGTCTGCAAATGCCTGGCAATAGAAGTTGGCTTCGGTGAGACTGTTTAGCAAGGGGTCTAGAATTAAATTCCAAAATAAGGGTCCTCCTATGGAACCCTGCACACAACCTTTGTTCGTTTTTCTTGTGACCTCCTTACCTGCATATCTCACCGTAACCGACCTGTCCTTCAGATAACTTGCTATTGTTTTTCTAAGATTTATTGGGCATTTTGTTTTATGGAGTTGGCAGTGGATTCGCGGCCACCAGGCATTGTCAAAGGCCCCCTCTATGTCCAGCGAGATTAGGGCTACAATCTCCTTCTCTTCCAGATTGCTCCTAATCCGCTGGACCATGTCATAGAGGGAGTCTTCGGTGCTCCTTTGTGGTACGAACCCATACTGCCTGGGGTTTATTTTGGGTAGGATATGCCATTTTAAGCGCCTCACTATCATTTTTTCATATATTTTTCCAACAACTGAGAGTAGCCCTATTGGACGGTATGATTTGGGTGTGTTATAGTTGGGTTTACCTGGCTTTCTTAGGGTTATGACTGTTGCTTCTTTCCATGTGGTTGGGAAGTGTGTTAATTCCAGTCCTTTATTGTATATGGCGAGGATTGTTTCCGTGTTCGCTTTGATGGTTTCAGCACATATATCGGCCGTCAGTCCATCTCCACCCGGGGCCTTCTTCGGGTTGAACGATCCCGAGGCATAGAGTAGTTCGGCTTTCGTGAATGGAGGGTCGTAACTGTCATCGTTACTCCCGACATTCACTTCCGCCGCCCTACTTCTAACCTCTTTGTGGGTTTCGCTCTCACCCTCTTCCGTGTCTACCGGGTAGAAACTTTCGGCCACTATATGCGCCGATTCCTCTGGATTGCTTGTTACTCCGTTTATTATCATCATTTGATCCTCGCCATTCTTTTTTGATTTCGATATAACTCTATATATTCCTTCCCACATGGTTTCCCTATCTTGTTTATTGCAGAACTCCTTCCAACATTCCACACTTGCCTTGTCCATCTCCTTCATATATTCCTCTTTTGCCATTTTAAATTGCTCAATTGTATAATTTTTTCTCTCTTTTGCTGCATTCTTGATTCTCTTTCTTCTTCTGTTTTTTTCTTTCTTTAATTCTTCCAGTTTATTCGACCACCACACGATCCCTGTTTTATTTTTGTTTATTTTAGGTTTACTATTCTTCGCTATTGTTCGTTGCATCACTTCCGTTAGCTTTCCTATAATCATTTCGTATTCCTCCGTGTTAGTTATCATATCTATTTTTTCCTTTACAATTCCTTCCTTTTCCATTTCCTCTTTCACTTCTTCCCTGAATTTCTTCCAATCTGTTTTCTTTGTGTTGTATTTTCTAGTTGTTTTGTTATTCTCAATTTGTTCCTCCTTTCCTGTTTTCAGTTCAAACAGGATCGCGTTGTGGTCGGATGCTGATATGTCTTCGTCTACTTTCCAGTTGTTTATTATTCCAATTGTATCTTTTGAGCATATTGTTACATCTACATGACTTTTATATTCTTTTCCCCCTCTCCATGTGTGGAATGTTGGAGCTCCCCCAATATTTGCTATTTCCATATTCATATCGTTTATTGTACCCATTACTTCTATTCCTCTTTCATCGTCCTTTACACTCCCCCACCACTTATTCCATGCATTTGTATCTCCTCCCATTATCATTCTAATGCCTTTCGTTTTTTCCCTTATATTTTCTATTTGATGTATGTACTCGCTGATGTCTATGTCAGGTTCGAAATAAAAGGAGACCAGTATGACCGGCCAATCGGGTGTTTCCATTTTAGCTACCGCTATATTTGTTGTTGTTAAATTTGGGAGAGTGTACACTTTTATGTTGTTGTTGAAAATTAATATTGCTGCTTTATTTACTCTCCCCGGTTCATAGTTTGCTTGTGTTATTCTGATTCCCGAATGGCTGGCCAATACTCCTCCGTTTCCTGTGTACGGCTCTTGGACTAATACTATTTGTATTTTCCTTTCCGTCGCCGTCTGTATAGCCTCAGCTGTCACATTTCTGGATCGTTGTAAGTTTATTTGCATAAATTCAATTTTCTTTGGAGTGCCCTTAGCAGTATGCTACTTTGCTTCTAGCCAGTCTCTCCATTCTTATCCTCACTGGGCAGACTGTGCTAAAAGCATTGTGTTCTGTATTTTCTTTATTATTTACATCTTTAGAGCAGTTTCTGCATTTCGGGGGGGTTTGTTTTGTCTCGCATGCGCATCTCGCACTTAAAAAAGGTTGGGCCGCCCCTCCCGCACCTCTGCATGTCAAGACGGTCATACTCATCATAATATGGTTGTTTTAATTTGGCGTTCGCTGCGCATCGTACCGGGTGGCGCTTATTATTTATTGACATGACTAAAAATCCGGTCTCGAATGAAATCCGGGCGGAATCCGGCCTATTTCCTCAAAATCCGGTCTAGACCGGATTTATCCGGTCAGATGGTAACCCTACTTTCGCATGTCAAGTAGTTGTAGCGTGCAGCTCGTAGATATTTTTAAAATGATAAATTGAAAGAGATAGTGATATATTTTGATTTAGACACTTAATCCCCTGCTCATACTCGGCCTATTTTATAGATTGACGGAATCACCGCCGGCCGAGATGAAAATAAAGTGTCCATCAATCATTCCTTAAAAAGATACATTAATATTTATAGTTGGTTTTTCATAAAAGGGCGATCCGTTTTCAATTGTAACAGGCGTCAAAGAAGTGCAAATAAATGAGACCGAGGGTTCTTAACGTCAAAGAATTGTGGAAAATGTAAATAGAGTGGAATTAATGGAGGTCGGAAACGTTTGTTGTCTCGTTTATTCGAATGATCCCTGACTACTATATATGAAAGTGCGGCTATACCTATAAAAGCTTGTAGAAAAGATTTTGAACATTTAAACTGTTTCAGATCAAGCGGGACGTATTAATGTAGCTAACCTTAAACTAATGCACAATGATCTCTAGTAGCGGAACTCATCAGTATTGGTTAGTTTGTAGTGGCTCAATATGCAGATATGTCACTTTAATAAAGCTATCATCATCACCAGCCCATTAACGACCCCACTGCTGGGGCTCAGGCATACCCTGTGGATGGGCGACTGGGTAAAAAAAAAATATCATTAAGTAAGATGTTGTGGATATCGGTTACCATTTCTATGATCCCTTTAATCTGCTTGATAGTGTATTCTTGTTGTTTATGAATTGTTTTGATACTTCTTTATTTTACTGGGTATTACAACGACGTGTGAAGAATAATGCAGATATGTCAGTTTAATAAAGCTATCATCATCACCAGCCCATTAACGACCTCACTGCTGGGGCTCAGGCATTCCCTATGGATGGAATCGAATCGAATTGACTACGGAGAATGGGCCATGACCCACCAGGCGGGCTACGTGCAGATGAAGCCAGGACCAACGGATCAACGGTGCTCTCTGAAGCACGGAGAGGGGATCGACATAATAAATTTCAAGAATTTTGTTCTTTTGTGGTTAATTAATCCTACTTTTTGTAAAAATAATTCACTCTCAGAAGCATGTTTAATGTAGGGATGAAAATAAAACTTTATTGGATATCTTTTTATTTTTAATATACATATCTCGGCACAAGCATAGATACTCTTATCGAATGGGGTAGTGCATATACTCTGTGTCGATGGCCAAATAAAATACAGCGGCTGGTTAGTCAGCATACAGTTTTTTTAAACGCAAGCAAAATATCTAGGTCAAGTCAACCTGAAAGGTTCAATGATAGTTTTCATGGCTTCTATCGATAGTCTATTTGAGAAACTATTTCCACTTTCTCATATCTGAAACAACAGAAGAGTATGTAAGTTAACCTACTTTATATACAATTAACATTATTATTATGTAAATGGTTGTAGACTGTTTCTTGTTTATCTACATATAGATATATAGTGGCATATTCACTAACGAACTCTTAATTTATCTACGACTGCGTGATTGATAAATAACAACATCAGTTGGCCAGAACTCAGGAAACGCATTCGAGTAAAGCAAGATATTGAATAAACCAAATGTTATTTGATTGACAAAATGTAACTCTTTGTTATGGTCGTTAGATAAGTATTCAAATGTACACGAAACTTTTTTATTCCAATTAAAAAAGAGTATAATTTCAATTCGGTTGAATGTTTTAGTACATTCATTTTACCGTTTATCTTTTCTCCATAAAGTTCATTTTCGCCCGTTTCTTGAATAAATAATTTGCAATACGAAGAATAAAAAAGGTTTCAAAAAAGAAAGAAGCGTGGTTACATTAAAATATTTGAATTGAAAACTATTCTAGGCGCAACTGCCTAATCTCCAAACGTTGCTCGTGTTTTGTTTTCCTCAATGACACCGGCCCTGATAGTGAACGCCGACATTGACAAAAGTTGATTCATACTATGGGGTCAACGTCCCGTCCCGTAGATTTGATACTTGAATCTTGAATCCCAGCCAAAATCACGATCCACTACATTGAGCTATCGCATGAAGTTGTTCAATCATAGATTGCAAACAACTGAGTCAATGCTCGTCGATAAACGTTTGCAGTTATTTCAGGATGGAATGAAGTTATGAACTCAGGTGGTGACTACGATGTGTGTGGCAACATTTACAGCGGATTAACGCCTCTCGGTGCGAAAATACATAACAATTGAAACTAGTATAACGACTCAAGTCTGTAAATATGTTAAAATGTTAATACCCCATAGATTTTCTATAAAAATATGATTTCCGTTATTTTATTTATAACTGATTGATTTATTTAGTTACATTGTATAAGAATCTAATGCTCTATTTCATATATTCTACAAATACTTCCACAAAATTAAGATAAATAAACCGATGTATTAAACGTATCGTACAGTCAAAAGTAGGTTATATAAAGCTATCTAATTTTTCCACTTGATTTTAATTCTACGTAAATCGAGATATCAAATTCCGTAATTTAACATATTTTGGTTACGTGATTTACAGCGTGTCTATACTGAATATTGCCTTCATTCATCTGACCCTCCACGCTGACCCAATTGTTATATTTAATTGTTATATTAATTCAAGAACTATTTCCAGAATAATGGATAGTTGTTGTACAAATATTAGAGCGTTGTTTCGTTGTCAGGGTTATTCCGTTCGCAACAAAAGCTCAATGGCGGTCAGTGCAAGTGCTTCCCCAAAGGAAATAACATTGAAGATTATTTCAACTGACTTCTAAGGGAAGATTCTCAGTTTGTCCCGTATATATTATGTTTGCCCGCGATTATTAGCGGCACCCATACAGTGTCATTAACAAGCAAGGTTTTTTATTATTGATATTAACGACTGCACTTAGTATTAGTTAAACAGAGACTTAGCAAAGGTTAACCTAGTACGAGGTTCTACGGGAGTAATGTTTACTCCTAAAAGATAGTAGGTTTGCTTAGTCTCTGTATAATATGAATTAGGACGAAATTTACTCTGACTCTAACTCTTGTTTTTAATAGCACTGTTAAAGTTTCATCAATAACTCCGAAAATATTTTACCCATAGATACCATTTTCTTACAGAGTATAATAGACAAAAAGCACTCTTCAGAAACCCCAGTAGCGTCGCTCGAAGTGTTCAATGGAGTAACCATACATTAATAAAAGATTTTGGGATCTTTACATCAATACATTGATAATAAAAAAACATCATTATAAAACACATTTATAGTTGAAATCAATAAATAGTTTTTATAACTACCCTATGGCTTTGAGTTGGGCAGTAGAGACTCTTCTGTACCTACTGTTGTTTTGATAAATGTGAAAAATAGGTCGTTTAAACAAGATATAAAAACGATGTCCTTAAAACCTTTTAGTGAACATAAACACGGCGAGCAGTTGAATATTTGAGCGGCATCATTTGGGATTTTCATGAATATTAAAACGTACATTAGGTACGTGTACGCTCTAGGACGTTAAGTCTAAATGGTTTTGTAAGTACAAATTGTATATGGCAACATAAACGAAACGGCGTGTATATATGTATTTACGCGTATAACTTCCGAACGATTGCACCAGATTGAATGATTCTTTTGTTCATGTCTTCCTTATTATCAGGACAAGGTTTGTTTATAAGAAAAATTAAAAAAAAAAAACAATACGGCAACAGGAGAAATAAAATATGGCCCGAAAGTTCGCCAGGTTATCTAGTCAATTATACATAACGGCGGGTAGTCCGAATGGGCTATTACGAAGCCCAAATAGATCGTCCATATCGGAGGACTATCTTTAAAATAACACTGCAGGCGTGTATACCAACGTGGATTTATTCCATTTTATCACTTTTTGTACGAAAATATAACGAGATGAGCGTGATCTCGTCGGATGTCTTTGCTCCTCGGCGATCGGAAACAGAATGTGTGCCAAAATGGCGGCAACTTGGTTTTTATAAACGAACTGTCAAAGTCAGTGTCACCATTCTAATAAAATTAAAAGTATCGATGATCACGCTCTCTCTACGAGTATAAAGTAATCGAGTAATTAAGTAATCGAGTAACTAGCAATTAAAATAAAAGAAACTAAATCCAACGATCTTCGTAAAGATGATGCGACATACAAATATGTAATTTGCTTTTCAAATCGGTCCTGTCTTTCCGAAGCTTATTCTATGCAAATAAACCATCAGATTGTCTCATATCACTAAATATAATTCTTGCTTAAATCACAAAATATGCTTGGACAAACATAAAACCATATATTTAAATATATATCCTACTTATAAAAATTTATATTTTTGCTTAGAAGCTCACATAGACTGAAATATATTTATTACATTCAGGACGAATTAATAACATCCTATTTTGAAGTCAGTTAATAATTTAGTTACCTGTAGCAATGGCTCCGGAACTGGGATCTGCCAGTTGAATTCGAACCTTTTCGTCATGGTTTAAAGTCAGCTTCTTCAGTGCGCCACTAGTAACCACGTGTCTTCTGCTCTTCACAAGCCAGCCATTCTTGTGATTACTGTTGACAAATAAATATGATGCATTAAATATTTTTTAAGTAGCTCGGTAATAATAATAAAAAGTATTAACTAGCTCAGTGTTGTAGGCTATAAGCGCCACAGCCCGCGATCGTTTTTGTTAAGCAACTTTCGTAAGGATCGGTCACGGGATGGGTGACCAAAATATTATTATCTCGACCTACTTCGTGTTTCGAATGATACGTTAAACCGTTAGTCCTGGCTGCATTCGTCGTCGTTAATACCTTTCGAATCCATTGGGCCAGCGTGGAGCGTCATGGCCCAACCTCATTAACCATTCATGAAGTGGGCCAGAGCCACTGCAGTGGGGAATTAAATGGTGAAATATTTTGTAATCGAGCTTTAGGTACTTTGGCAGTATCTTGGTCAGATATATAGATAAATCAATAGAGTCCACACTCGATAGGGTACATTATTTATTTAAAAAGTACTCATGGCCACCTTTCAGTTCTATCAACAAATCCTGGAATATTGTCTAGGTTCAAAGCTTTTATCGAAGAAGCATGATGGGACAGTGGTTAGCGCGCTCAGTATGCAATACGGTTACAATAGGGCCTGTCATAGGATGGGTGACCAAAATATATTTACTATGCTTACATAAAATATGAATAATTATTCAACAAATATTGTGGTTTTCTTAATGTTTCACTAGGTACTTTCAATACCTACTTTTTTTATCTCTTTCATAAAATTAAGTTACAAAATTACAAGGCGTTAAAATATCAAATCGAAAACATTACGAGTTATAAAAGTTTGTACTTAATTATAGTACATATTAAATATAACTTATAGGACTAACGACAGACAGACAAAACTAAAAGTTATACATAGTTATAGTCTTTAAAACTCGAATTCAATTACTATAACCAAAGAATTTGAAGAGGTTATTGATTTTTCTTAATTAAATAAAAGACGATATACTCATTACAGTGCTTATGTAATAGAAAAATCAATAAAAAATAGTATATTAACTTTCGTTTACATAACCAAACACCGACATTTTATTCTTGTTTATAATCTCTGATGTAAAGCTCTGGCGAGACATGCATGACGCAGCCTCTTTAGTAAAACTCCCATGCATGAATCGCCACAATGTCTTTTATGTAAAATTTTACCAATGAAATTACCGCGTTTAATACTATTTATTTATTTATTTTGTACACACATACAATTTCATATGAACAAATGTAACAGACATTAGTACAAGGGCACTGCTTATTTCAAATTGAAATTTCTACCAGCAGGCCCACAACAGGATGTGTTCTCGGCATGAAAATTATTGAGTACGAATCAAATTCGTATCGAATAAAATGTTAAGTAAAATTGATATATCTTCAAGATTAAAAATATAAAAAAAATTACTGACTAATAGATAAAAAATGTTTAGTTTTGTATTGCACAGTCGAGTACCGCCTTGATAGAGGTTACAGAGAGGTTACTTTTGAAGCTCTGACGGACGGCATTCGAGGTTGCTTTTTAGAGAATAACATAGCATAGCTGTTCACTTTCCAAAAATTATAATATCTCTATAATCGTACGTCGATAATTCCACCATTTTAGTTTTTATTTACTATTTCTTATTTTTCGATTATACTGAGTATCTGAATCTGAATTGGTAATAACGTTTCATGGCATAAGTGAAATGACTTTCTAATTGACATAGGAATAGAATATCACGTATGAATCAATCTTGTTTTGTATTTTTATACAAAAAAATGGAATCAATAGAATTTCTACACTAAACGACATAAATTCGGACACATTATTGAATTCGGAGTTTTAGAAATATTCTGCAGATATATCTTAAAGTAAACAATACACAACACGCATTCATACTTTTATGTTGATACACTTTAATTTGCAAATTAATAATTAACTTTGTCGAATTATGTGACTCGCAAACTGTATTTCGTTCTCCCTCGATATTTATTTTATTTATGTTATTTACTTAGAAACACAATCAAAATATTTAAAATTCAAACAACGTATACAATGTCCTACATTTTCATCAATTTATTTTTGGGAACAATACTCCTGTAATAAATTTAAATAAAATTGAATCATGAACAGCGTCGAATTATTATTTTCGTTTCGGACCAGATACGTCGCACGATTAGAATCCAATTTATTTTATAATATAAATAATAAACCGCTTCCTCATTTCAAAATCCAATTCATGGCAATTGCAAACGAGATCAATGGCTTGATGCGCCTTCGAAACCACTGAGAATCTCGCGATAGTAAATTTTGGGCACCCATCCTGTGACCAGCCATTGCGAAAGTTGCCATCGAGTTTTCCCAAATTAATGAATTTGAGTTAGTGTTGCAATTTATTAATTGAATTTTAATGAAAATGGTATTATCTTTAACTGTGTATTTGTATGAGATGTTACCTATATTTGTCTTTTTATTGAATCACCAATCTTAGAATAGACTTGTAATCTTCTAAAATGCATTAATAAAGTATGGTTATTAATTAAACAAATAAATTTATTCACAGAACAGAACTATTTACATAGTGTCATTAAATAAGTTGCTTTATTTATGAAAGATAAAATATTGTTACTTGCCCGGAAACGGAATGCTAATTTGACTACATATTCTTGCTGTGAGGTTGTTGCTGTTCGAGACGCGGTGTCTGGAGTAGAGTGAAAATGTATTTGAATCAAGAAGTTTTATTACATTAGTATTTTTAGTTCTGAATATTGTTTATTTAGACAGAAATCAAAATAGTAGTGAGCGAGGAGATTCAAATACGATATTATTTCTAGGAGGCTATGAGCAAAACAGTACAACTAGCTAGAAATATAGAAGGCCCTGTTATTAAATGGATCGTATTTATTTCAGATGGGAAATAGCCGTAGACCCGATGACGTATAACCGTGACGTGATTTTGTTGCCATTGTCAAGGAATAATTTACTGCCTTATGAAAGCTATACTTTACTGATTATACTAAGATTGATAGTCAAAAAAATATTTGTCCGTTCGGTACACATTCTTCTTCTTCGATATATGCCTTTCCCAACTCCCTCCAGCGTGATCTGCAGGTAGTCTCACGCATCCATGATATGCCGGATGTTTGAACAATATCATCGGACCATCTTGCCTTTGGTCTTTCTGGTTTTCTACTGGATGTTCGTGGTCGCCATATGGTTATCTTTTGGCTCCAACATCCTTCTGAGCATCCCTATGTCCACAACACCAGTCCGTTTACGTATCTCGGTACACATTAACAGTACAAAAAAAAACTAAGACATAATAACATATTAAAAACCTAGAACGGCTTATCAAATGTGCCGTGATACAAAATGGTAGGTAGCTCAGTGATATTATTGAAACAAAACACTTATTTTCCGCTGTCACATTAACATAGTTAACTACCAATCTTATATAACGCTTATGTATTATTATAAAATAGTACTTGAGAAATTATATAGTCACAATAATGAGTCTGGGTTTAAATTCAATCCAGGGCCAATTATAATAACGTTGATAAAATAATCACAACTCTATGTCGCCTCAATAAGTTCCTTCTTGCGAAGTCAGTATCAAATATCTTTATTCAAATAAATTGAAGTAAAATACAATTTTTAATAAAATACTTTCGAGTCGTAATTTTTTTTACATACCACTCTTTTAGGTATTTTAGCTGATAAGAAGTGCCAATAAAAGAAACTCACCAGCTCTAATAGAATTAAGGACATTTACAAAAAACCATGTCTTCATCAAATAAATATTAACAATAAGAATTTAGGTATTATTTGGAACATTGTAACTTTTCATTACAATATTTAACATAATATTATTATTGCCCAATATTATAAGTTTAATGTCATTTTCTTAAAGCCCTGGTGAACTGGTAACAGATATATTTGATATTATGTGATCTGGTAATCAGGGGTGCGACCGCCTAACTCCCTAGCCGTAGGTACGACAACTTATCGATGTTATGAAGATAAAGGATGATGATTATGGATTCGATAGCAGTGTTACCAACTTAGTAATTTATCCATGAAACGACATGTCAAAGTAGTGAAACATGAAACGAAATATTGTCATGACTTTGCTAAGATGTCGCATCCTACGCTAGCCGTAGATTCTAGAATCAAGGCTAGAGATTTAGGAGGTAGCCTCTATGTAGGTCTAGCACCTAAATCTTTCGTTATAAATTGATATTATTTTATAAATTTCATGTTTTATTATTTACATATTTTATTATGTTTTTGGTTATTTAAGTTTTCTGAATTATATTAAATTCGATTAATTGATAATTACTCAAAAAAGGCGAATTTAGACAAACAAAGCTTTATTAAAATTAACATGAAAGTTTTTATAGTCTCTGACCTATGTCATACGCGGGTAACATAAGCTATAATGTAGGTACGCGAGTGAAGTTGTTTTTAAATATCTTATATGCAAATGCTAGCTAAAAGCATATACCAACTCTGCGATACCGAGCGTTACGATTGCGTGGCAGTCTGCCGATGCTAGTCGCTAGTTGCGATATTGCGCAAATTCTATGGTGTGTTGTAAGAACATGTGGAGACACCTCCTAGTGGGGTGATGCCCACCAAATAAATAGCTTCCAGGACAATCGTTCGCTCGGCTTGAAGTCCTAAGGATCCACGTCTTAGTCCGGTTAAACTGTAAAGGCCATCTGAGGCCAACAGTAAACACTGCTCCATAAAATGTTTTTTTCAGTTGGTACACACATAACTTATTTGTTATTAATAAACCTATTAGTTCATAATAGGAATGTTTTAATAAAATTTATCAACTCAAAGTCAAAATACTTTAATTCAAATATACTTATTTAAAGTAGGTACTTTTGAATCGTCCAACATTTTTCGCTGCCATTCGCTCAGGACGTAATCTAAGTGATCAACTTGTACATTCACAATTTACCAAAATATAATAATTAGATAAACACTTACTCGCTACAAACTATACAATAAAGCAAGCTTTTCAGGTAAACTGTTG